TCATTGTCTTTTTCAGCTTCTTTCTATAATCTCTTTTGCTGAGTTCATCTGGCTCTCTCAGAGTTTTTTTAAACTGCCATTGTAGTCAGCAAAGTCTTGGTAATCTGTATCACAGTAGGTTACTTTTGTTTATTATTTATGTTATTCATAATAAGTATTTTTATAACTTTTTAGTTCAATTTTATATATTTCTATATATAGAGGTAATCCTATATTAATTACATTATGATTTATATTTATTACCTTCTGGTATGATAAAGAGAGCATTAAAATTAACAAGTCCATAAGCACCATTATTTCTTCAAAACGTCATCATTCACCTGGTCAATTTTACAGCCACATCATAATCAGCCTCTCATTTATAGAATGTTTACTTTGTCTGGTTTTGTTGCAGCATGCCCCATATAATAATAAGATTGTTAAATAACCTTGAAAGATTTGTTAGTGGGAAAAAAGTAGTCAAATGAAACAAACTACCATAAATCAATATTTTGATGATTAAATAATAAATTGATATTAATATCCATATTATTAGTACTATTAATTCCGTGTGTTATACAAATTGCCATTTTCTCTAAATGCACACCCTCTCTAAATGCACACCCTCTCTAAATGCACACAATCGTCTGGTCCCAAGGTGTGCATTTAGAGAGGTTTCTCTGTACGTCACAAAGAAAATTCCGTTTTTGTTGTTGAGACTGGTGTTGCAGTCGTAAGTCGTAATTGTGAGGTGGGTATGGCTGTTGATTAGAGTATAAAGGTGGAGAGTAGTATAGCTGTGTCTGATGTCGTTGATTCATGTTTGTGTTCTGTATAATAGAGCGTATAAGAATGCTCAAGGACGGAGGAGAGGAGAATAAGGGCGAGGCGCAATAGTCGTATGAGATTTATGACGCTACAGCTGAAGGAGCGCGAACATGACAACAACCGACAACAAAAAAAATAACTGTGCGCTTCCACAAAACACGTAATTGACCATGTGAGACAGACGCACCAATCATATTGTGTAAAATTTTAATCTTGCCGCGCCAATAAGATTTAACCCTTTATTATTATCGAGGATTCACTGGGTGCTAGAATTTTTGAAACCCGCTATAATAATAATCTATTTAGATGCATTTTAGTTCATAATTCATAATGTTTCGCCAGCAAATAACAAATACATTATTTAAACATATCAACCTCTTCAAGGTCGTTTATGCGTGTTTGAATTTTTGGCGATACAATTTATAGTTAATGACTATTAATTTAGTGTGCGAACCAAATCTGCTTTCTTACTTTTATGTTACAGCACTCTAAAATAGTTTCAGGTTCAAACTTTAGTCGGTCATAAATACCATACATGAATTTACTTTTTATGAAAGTTCTATAATATTACGAGAATGAAAAAAAAAAATACAATGTTTAAAATACTAAACTATTTATATTAAGATTTGTCGTTTCCAACAAAATTTGTATTGGTATATATCTGCTACTGTCTACCACGTATCCCAAAGATTAAGCAGAGCATCTTTCGGTGGTTCTTCACCGAGAGGTCCTTGATACTCCATAATCGTACCTCTGCCTTTCACCACCTGGGCAGTATAAGAGCTTGTTGATCGGCAACATCCAACTGGGCCACTGACAAACCAATTAGCATGCATCAGAACTAACTTGTCCCAAATTGCCAACACGCCTAATCTTTCCTTATCAACGGGTTTTTTGCCAATCGCAACAAATTCGTCGTTTTCGAAGGGAGGAAGTGTAGTATTGAGGCGTTGCCATGTGTAAAAGTCTAGATTGTTTACGACCATCTTCGCTGCTCTATGGTGATCTTCTGTTAGTTCCAAAAATGACCCTGAATGAATGTCACCACCATCAATTGGATAATCCGTAGCAACGTATACATTGCTTATTTTTTGTTCTTTCTTAATGCGTTGAACATATTCTAGTAACCGAATACTGCAACTAACAAGCTTTTCTGGGCGAGCCGTTTCCATCCGCCAATGAATTGCGATATATGGATAAAGGAACGTTGATATAGTTTCTGCCCGCTCAATCAGATGATCGGCATATTGAAGCGGTGCAGGTATATGTTGCACTTGTGGGCAATTAAACCTGCGGAAATGGTAGTGTACGAATATGACATCTGATTGGATCGATCTTAGACTATTAATTACAAATTGTGCAACGGCGACTGCAGTCACGATATTTTCTGCGGTTGGTTGTCTAGCAAATACTCTGAACGCTGTGATATTAGTCTCTAGTTCATCTCCATATGACAAGTAATCGAATGGTTGCAGGCAGTAATCTTTTTTATAGACCTCGAGATTTATCTGTTCAGATACAATCCTGTCGAGATCGTTTTTGCCAGTCTTGTTCAAGTAAACAATATTCACGGTGGGAATTCTAGCCCTGATTGCTTTCATCTCTTGGCTCCACAAAAGAAGCTGGCTTTGCGTAATGAATGTGGTGTTTGGCGATGACTGCCGCATTGCTTCGATGGAATAATAATAATCGAAAGAGTAAGTCTGGCATGTACTGTATCGTGAATGTTCAACGTTAGGTAAGACTAACGCTCGACCGGTTTCTTGAGCTAGAATAATTAGCCTTCTCATGTGCAGTCGTGCTCTCGATTCTTGTTCATTCACGAATACTGGAAACATGAACTTACACACAGGAGAACCACAATATTTAAGATTTATCTGTTCTTCTGTCATAGTTTCTTGGTAATCATCAACTATACCCGCGGATGCTGACTGTGTGTCGTCAATTTGCACCTACAGAAAAAAGAAAGCATAATGTTTTTGGTTTTAGTTTTATTGTCATGTGCATTTGTTATGGGATGCTGGAATCATGTTTGGGTTGTTATATTTTTATTCATTCGAACGGCACTATGAATCTAAACGTTCTGAATCGCCTAAGCTATTGGCTAAATAAATATATTGTTGATGCCACTGTGAACGTACCTTACTGTCAAAATCATTAGTTGTCTCTTCGTCAGAAAAGGTGTAAGTTGCTATATTCCAGAACAGGATACAAAGAACGACCGCAAAACAGCTCAACACCCACTTGCGCCAAATACTATGACTTGCGATACTGTCAATAGGTTGATACGTCTTCGCCATTGGAAATGCTAACTACGTGCTAAGAAAAACGTTAGATCGCATAAAGAAACTGGCAGTAATGGCTTTGGATGAAGCGTACAAAAGCTTTTATAATTTCCGAAAGCCTCATTGGTGCAATGATGAGAGATTGAGTACTATCTGCAGTGAAATTCAAACAAAGATGCACGCGAATTAGTTTGATACAATGTCATTCGCTTCTTTGATAGAATGTCTTAGCAATAGTGAAAGTTACCTTTACATATAAATTGATTGGATGACTGTTGGAAAACCCGTATGCCTAAACGTCGATTTGGAAGGAAACATCGTGTTTGAATAATAATCGTCATCTCTATAACTGATTTAAAGATAATACAGCCAAAATTGAATCAAAGCGTATGTAGTTTGTTGTTCATTTGGTTATTTTAAATTTAATATTAATGTTGATAATTACAACGGTTATGTTCTCTTTCATTTTACTGGTTAATAAATATTAGGATCACGTATCACAGAGGTGGCATTACGTCCAAGCGTTTTAACAAATATTACTCGATGATGGCTAGCAAAAAATTAAACAGTGAACAGTTTATACCATACAGAGGAAGATTTTGGAAAGTCCGTTAGTATTTTCAAACACTTTGCACTAGGAAACGAGAGTATTTATTTGGTTAGGCGTGAATTCGTTGTGGCATACTGTCGACTAAATTTTCGATCAATTAATTGGTCAGGGATGCTTCGTTTTATATTACGAAAAATGTCATAAGCGGTTGTTACGGTCTTTGAAATGATTTGTAGTTATCACAAGTTTATGACAATAAATCATGGTTCTGTGTTATAAATTAAAATATAAAATATATATGACTTTCAGTAGTTAATCCTATTTTCTTCCGATTACTGGATATGATAAACAGTTGAATATCATGTCATATCATTACAACAATCGGGGTCCGTTGAAGATGATCCAAGTTCATAGTCAAAGTCTATAGGAAACAATAGGTCAAACAGACAAAGCCATTATAGTAACGTTGCCTAGAGTCTCGTATGTCGTACACCATTGGTATCATAGCAAGCTGGCAGATGGCACTGCTTATGTAAACATATTTACCCATGTGATTATTCGATGTACAGTATAACATGTCAATTGACATGATAAACCACGGATTCAAAACTTTGTGTGTAGGTTAAAATGATCCACAAATAACTAACAGAAGTATTTCGACTAATGTATACAGTCAACGCTCTCTAATTGCACACTTCGTACGTGTACGGTACTTCAGATTCCCAGCCTCAGGAATTAGTGAGAAATGCACATTCCCCTAATCTGCACACGATCTTACGCAAGCGATTCAATCTTGGCGCTTAATAATACCAGATCACATTTTAGACCCCTTCTGTATTAACGTGATCAATAATAAATCTTAATAGTCATATATTTCATCATCGTGACCAACTCTCTTCTCTCAATCAATGCTATACAATCAACCTCTCTGAATGCAATTCATCAGGACCATAGCATGTCTTGCATTTACGGAGGGCGTGCATTTACAGAGTGCGAAATACTTTATAATCGAGGGCTTGCATTGTTTAAAGGTTAGGTTGATTGTGCTTTTTACGCTTCCAAAAAAATAAAACGAGTTTATCTGTAATAACAAAAAAACTCGAACAGGATGTGTTAGCTAAATTAAAAACAGTGGAAAACCAGTGTTAATAAATACAAAAAAACCTAATAAATATTGTATTAAAGAGAGAAAAGCCAAATGTGCATCATATTATTACTAATACGAACACTTAATCTCGAAATTCGGTATTTTTAACATCTTGTCGGCCAATGAGAAACTCACGTTGCATAACAATCAAGTAAACACCTGTTGGTGCAATTTTGGTGAAAAAGGGGCAAGGTAACGTAGAGAGACTTTGACTTGACAACCATTGAGGAGTAAATGCAGATTCAGATTTGGTGGGTATTTTAGATATTAACCTTTAAACCAAAGATTTCCTTACTGATTACAATATCTTCGAGTATTCCCTAATTCGAAAGAGAACTAAAAAAAAAATTAAAATTCCACAGAGTGTTCAAGTAGTTGTTTCAAAAGAGGAGTACTGCAAGTGTTTTTGAGTTTTTTGAAGGAAAAGACTGTAAAAGTATGGTAACTACAGTGGGTGCTCAAAAGTCTCCGACCACCCCTTTTGCTAATTCCATAACAAACCGTTTAAATGCCATAAACTTTAGCTATAGTTTACGCTTGAATTGAGCTACCTTTCTATAAATTTAGTGTACATTAATGCGTTTTTTGTACTATTAGCGTGTTTTGTACCTCGCGAGTTTATTTTACTTACGCAATGTCCGTAGTTCTTCAACAAATCTCGTCTTAGTCTTCAGTGTATTATTCTTAGTAGCAATGATAATAATAATATGTTTGTAATATTAATTAATAATATCGAAAGTTATAATACGCCGAAAGCAAAAAACGGGAATAAGAAAAGAATGAAAAGGCTGACAAATATTGAAGCTTTACAAACACGGTTACGGATATGTACACTACCCGAAACAAAAGTATCGGACCTTCTAACTTTTTTTAATTACTCGAAACTATACATAATAAACGAGGCTAAAATTTTAATAAATATACCACAAATAGTTAATATTTTGTTGGCCAGCCATTATTTGCTATGTATGCTTCGATTCTTCGAAGCATACTTTCAATCAGGTTCATTAAAACAGTGTTAGAAATTTTTGCCATTTTTCTTGCAATGCAGTCTCTAGTTCTTTTAAATTTTTTGCTAAAGGGGGACGGTTTCTAATACGCCTGTCATCATTCTTGAATATAGTGAAGCAACTTTTATCACTCCAAATGACATTTTTCCACTTTCTGATGGATCAATCTTTTCTTTCAATACACAGTCTAAACGATTTTTCCTTTGTCAATTATTAAGAAGAGGTTTAACTGCTGGTACACGAGAAAGGTAATTAAGGTCATGCAAATTTCTTGTAATAGTTTTCGTAGAAGCATTAAGTCCAGTTTTTCATTGAATGTATTTGTAATTTGTTCAGCTAATTTTACGGTTATGATTTGTTTTCCTGTTCGTTGATGCTCAAAACTCAAAAGTTTGGACAACCACTCGTGGCCGAGTTACACTTTCTTTTTTGAAAAATTTGATTAGTTTGGATAACTGTTGTTTTTAAAGAAACCAAGCGTTTTTTTAATACTGGCTTTTGTAGCACCCCCGCTTTGAAAAGGCCAATAATTTGACCACGTTCAGCTTCAGTTAATTCAGACATTTAAGTCAACGATTCAAAATTACCAATCAGTCGTTTTAAGTTTACAAAAACAAAAAAATAGTTGTAAACAACACATAAAAAATGTGACGCGTTTTTCAATACCCGGAGCGTAACGTATAAAATTTTAGCCTCGTTAGAGGGTCCTCCGATACTTTTGTCCGGTAATGTATAATAAAAATTAACTTGTTATAATTAAATTTAAAGACGTATTAGTATTGAAGTTAGCAGTCTCTTGTTTATTAAGAGTTACTATTTCTCAACATTTTCTATTTCAATTCTACTTATTAACTTAACGTGGAATCAATTACATTAATCTATTTTGCCATGAACAGTCTACATTTGATGCGGTTCTTACTTATTAGTAACAGTATATTTATAGTATAAAAAACTACACGTTTATTTACAATAGTATATGAAATAAAGGAATTCAACACCGCTGCATATTTATTGATCAACCTGCTTTTAGCAACGTTTATTAATTTTTTATTGGTCAATGTTATTTATATCGTTCGCTGCACTTACGTTTCTGCCATGTGAGTAGCTTTTCATTTTGACACTTTGATCGAATGTTACAACTACTATGAGGAATATATATTAGGCATCATATTGTATAGCAATTCAAATACTTGAATAATTGTTTACCCTACACTGAAGGCCAAAACTCGGCGTATTCTGGTAACAAGAATTGGGGCCAAATTATGATTACAATATATTTGGAATTTTATTAGATAAATTCGAAAGTTGCTTTTCCAAATACCAAGAAATATATACACGTAGTCCAATATAAGTCTATATTAAGAATGTAAATGTACATTTATCAAAAATTCTTGGATTTGAATGGCGGTCAATTGATAATTGTTGCGATCATATATTACAAAGTATTTTGAAAGACGTATTCCACAATCACATCGGATAGGTGTATGAACCGCTATGAATTGACATTTGTTCGTTAACATTGTGAATAGTATTCACATATTCCCTCACTGTGTTGTTCCCCGGTTCACTTTGGAGAACTATTGCAAAATCAGCAAGAGCCTGTTCATACCGTCCCAACCTATAATAGCAGACACCCCGCAAATTCATATAAGGAATTCTCGGTTCCAACCTTACGGCTGTATTTGCATCAGCCAAAGCCAAATTGTATACTTTCTGGCGGCAATAAATGCTAGCTCTCTTGTAATATAGTGATGCTGTTCGACTAGAACCAGTTATGGCACTTGTCCAGCATTTTATGGCACCCTCATAATCTTTGCGTTCTTCAAGTATAGAGCCCATTGCACATAGCGCAACGGGTTCTGAAGGATGAATGTCCAATGCTTTCTTGGCATCTCTATATGCAAGGTCATATTGACGTATGCGAAAATAAATCTCAGCTCGCCAACCCAACGTTTTCGGATTATCAGGATCCTTGCTTAAGGATCTGCTGAACCATAGTAGAGCTGCGGGATAGTCTTTCATACGACTGCAAAGTTCTCCCCTCCTCAATAGTATGTAAGGATGATATGGGTCGAGTGCTAATGATCTATCGAAATCGCTTATCGCCTTCGTGAACAACTTCATACACGCATAAATATCACCTCGCATGCCAATGGCCATTGCGTTGTTCGGGTCGATGTAGAGTGCTTTATTTAATTCCACCAAAGCATCTTCATAAGCAAGAAATGTTCGATAAACTCTCGCCTTGAGTAACATGACCTCCAAATCCCTTTCGTTTATTTGTTCGCACTTATCCAAATCTGCTATTGATCGTTGCATATTCATTAGACCATGGTATACCTGAGCTCTAAGCTTAATGGCCGGAACTTCATTTGGCGCACGGTACAGATAAATGTTCACATCGTTAAGCGCCTCTCTATAATTGTATCGAGTGTAGTAACAAACAGCTCGATGAAATAATGCTTCTTGATTAGCTGGGTCAAGGTCTAAAGCCCAACCTAAAGAAAAAAGGACTTGATCTGTCATTTTGAGATTACGACAGACATGGCTACGCAAAATCCATGCTTCGATAGCGTTAGGTTGAATTTCAACAATGACATCGAGGTCTTTCTTTGCTGCGTTGTAGTCTTGCAAATTGATATATGCTTTTGCCCGACAGATAAGTTCCGAATGACTCTTTGGATATTTTTTGAGATAATCACTGAGATATTTTATGGCTTTGGTGTAATGGCCTTTGTTGTAGGCGTCTATTCCCCGAAGTTTTAATTTCCCATGGTTAGATGCTCTGAACCAGAACAAAGACGTCATTGCGCAAGTTAATGGCATATAAAACGAACAGGAAGCGATTGCTGAGAAAAAAGGTTGGTCCCTTGTGTTAACTTCCCAAAATTATTCATCATGTGAGTTACAATTTGGGAAACGCGATTGTCGGATTGACAGTGTGCGACTTTAAGATTAAAATATTCTGCAACTCCTACATGACGGTGTAATAATCTTATTGGTTCGTTCATATGTAATATACACGGCAAACACGCAAAAGTCGTTAGTTTAAAAATAGCTAATTCAAAGAAGTAAGATAATCGAAGCAATCAAAAATCACTTTGAGGAAATAACATTCAGTTGAAAATTCGGCATCTAAGAAGAATACTAAATTCGGACCAAGTTTTAGAATCATTCGAAAAGACTCAACGGTTAAAGATAAATTTAGTCAACAGACAATGACATGCAACATACTGTCTGTGTAACAGAAGGGCGTGGAATCATTGACCGAGTAAAAAAAGATATGCTTACTATTTTTTACTGATCGTGCTCGGTCTTCTCCTGAGTGTTTGAACTTGCTGACGTAAACTGAAAGCAATTAGGTTGACTTTAATTGCCCGAAATGCGTATCTTTGAATGAATGATACGGCGTTCAACGCCTCTTGACCCCTGATATTTTTTGTGCTGCTACGCTTGACCATAGTCGGGAACAATGACCTACAATTACTGGATGTAGTCCCATTCAGAATTTTATTAGGCGTAGTCATGCCCGAGCTCTAAAGTCGTAAGGGTTTCACTTACGAACGTCCCCAACAAGCTGATGTTTTAACGGCAAATAAGTGTATGACATATTTCATGTCCCTGCAGGAAAACCGACTGCAGGGTATGAATATAAATGTTACACTGATTGTATCATAACACTAAAATTAGTATTAGCGTTAGAGATAGATGCGAGCTATCAGCACACAATCTTGATAAGCTGGTGGCTTATCGAGACGACCGGCTTATCGGAACTCACGTGATGCAAGATATTTAATCAATTTTATCATTAATATCCTCCTAATCGTATGATCTGGTGACATGTTTGCATTGTGAGTTTGAATTATAATTATAGCCTTGATTCTAATGTACGTATTAGTATTACAAGTACGCACATGATAAGGTAATGATTTTTTAATCGGTGCATCACGGACCGGCTTATCGCGACCAACTGTGTAATAAAAATATTTACCGCTGAATAAAATCTTAATTTCTATTGTTCATACCAAATAAGGTTTAATATTGTGCTATAGAGTGAGATGACAAACAGTCTTTTCTCAAGCAATCTCCGTAATACCTATTTACCTCTTTATTAATAAGAGTCAGTAAAAGAGTATCTTATAGACGATTAAAATTTGGTAAACGGTTTGAGAATTCTAATTAAAATCAATCAAATGTTATTGTTAACGCTACTTTTGCTCAAACCTATACTACGGTTGTTCTCCATAAATATTTCTAATTATTCCAACAATAGATAATAAATTATATACTGTGTATTTATTGCCTTTTTCTTCATCAAAATCATGTTGTGTTATAATCCATAGGCCAGACATTAGACGTATGAAAGACTATCCCGCAGCTCTACTATG